CTCTTTCCTGCCTGTGCAGGGGGTCGGACTCGATGATCTATTGAGGTCCCTTCCGACCCTAACATCTATGAATCTATGGAGGTAATGTGGTGATGGGTCCCTCTGAGCTCGCAGCTTGGTCTTGCTGACAGGTTTTACTACGTAGAGGCATGACTGCGTGTTGAAATAATTAAGATTTCCTGATGCAACGTTGTCCGCATCAGGAGGCTGGTGCTATTTTAACTATTCCAATATAACATCTTATAAAGCGTCTGCATTTCTGAACAGGTTGGTCTCTAAGGTGCCCCCCATCCTGCCTTTTGCTTCACTTCGGACTAACATGGCCAACTACTGCTCTCTCTCCCAATAGTTAAAGCAGCAGATCTTTTTAGTGTGGACAAAGTCTTATAACACAGGTGTGCATACCATAGCATATCTGTGGATTAAACAGAATTGCAGTTTTCTGGGTTGTCTCTCTAGCATCTCTTACAGACATGACATTTTATCCAAAAAGTTATAGAAAGAAAAATCTCATCTGAGCATTTTAACTGGTACATTCTTAATGTACATGAAGTTTACAGCCATATAGAAGTGTAGGCTGTGGAACACCTGCAAAATTTGTGTATTTAAATCCATACATAATATGACTAATCCTAATGGCTCTTCTTCCAGTTTCCCATGTACTTAAACCTAAACTTTAGGTCTGAACCAGTTAATTATGTATCTTTGCAATGGGAAGTCTATTTCCTAGACAAATAACATAGACCTTACATGGCTCGTTCCCTTTTGCCTCAGGAAACAGGATTTAAGGTCCATTGCGAAAAACTTAAATTCTCTTTTTCAGGGGTCAGGTGTAGCTGTTTTAAAAGGCTGTCTCGATTATGACCATAATTCATACAAATCCTTTATATATCCTGTAACTTATTATATCTGTTGTAAACTTCAGTGCATGTTAAATGCAAATTAAAACCCGGTCAATCTGTTATTGAATTCTGTCTAGTTTTGTTTATATTCTGTTTTTTCTTCATGAAATTGCTATAGAACTTGGCATCGGTTCCAAAAGAAAAATCTGTTTTAAGTTATGCTGATATTGTATCCTGTCTCATATAGTTAATTGGGACATAGTCTGCTAGATGTGAAGAAATGTGGTATGAGGTTAGGAGTCTGTTTAGGTTTTGTGATAAACCAACTGCAGAATCCTTAGCTGCTCAGATCCCCCAACAGAAGCTTCTGAGAGTAGAAAAATAAAAAGACTCTTACTTCTTCACCTCTAGCCTGTGCGCTGCTAATTAGAGAAAGAGATTTTAAAATTTCTGGTATCTAAAATATCTATACGAACTGTAAAGAAACTGTTCTGTTCACACATTAGTCAGATGTATGTCTTCAACTGTACAAGCACTGAAGCATACTGTTTATGCAACGAGAATAGGAAATTGTGCTAGGTTCAGAAGCATTGGAATTACCCAATTAGTAATTGTTGCTGACTCCCGTCAAGAATGGCTTCTCTAGTTGTACGTTAGTGATGTTAAGTTCAGAGGGCTCCCTCTTGACCACAGTGGCATGCAGACTTGCTGTATGTAGGTGAGGTGCTTTTCTGTGCCCGAACATACTTCCTACAGCTTGTCATTTTAGAATTGCAGAAAATGAGGGTTGGAAGGGACCTCAGGAGGTCACGTCTAATCCAGCCCCTGTTCAAAGCAGGACCAGTCCCACCTACCTCATCCCAGCCAAGGCTTTGTCTAGCCGGGCCTTAAAGACCTCCGAGGATGGAGAGTCTGCCACCTCTCTGGGGAGCCTGTTCCAGTGCTGTACTACCCGCCTAGTGAGAAAACTCTTCCTAATGTCTAACCTAAATTTCCTTTGCCGCAGCGTGAGACTGTTGCTCCTTGTTCTGTCGTCTGCCACCACTGAGAACAGTCCAGCTCCGTCCTCTTTCGAACCCCCTGCGGGGAGTTGAAGTCTGCTATTAAACCCCCTCAGGCTTCTCTTCTCCACACTAAATAAGCCCAGTTTCCCCCAGTCTTTCCTCACAAATCATGTCCCCCAGCCCTCCAGCCATTTTCACTGCCCTCTCCTGGACTGTCTCCAATGTGTCCACATCCTTTCTGTAGCAGGGGGCCAAAAGTGGACACAGGACTCCAGATGTGGCCTCACCAGTGCAGAATAGAGGGGAAGAATCACTTCCCTTGACCTGCTGGCAGCACGCCTATCAATGCAGCCCAGGATGTTGTTAGCCTTCTTGGCTGCTAGGGCACACTGCTGGCTCATAGTGTAGATGTCATTTAAGGAGATACTGTCTCTTAAAAGCAGGATTTCTAAGAATGATTCAGTTTGTTTCAGGAGTAGAAAGCATGCTCTGTTCCTGGTCTTCATCTCCTTTCAGCCCCCTTAGAGGGCTTCCTATTGGATCAGTAAATTATCTGGCCAGGATCTGAACAGATCCAATCTATGCTGCCCATGCCTTGGCACCCTGGTTGAGAATCACTGATTTATAGTTTTAATTGCTTTCACATTTGGGTAAGGAGAATGGTTGCTTTCAGTGTTTGAATCCCCTTAATTCAGGAGAGGCTTTTGTTTTTATCTTCTTCTGTCTGGCCTTGTGCTTGTCCTGGTTGGTCCCAGACTCCTTAATTTGGCCTTTCAGAATTAAGAGGTTGGTGGGCAGGGAGATAGGGAATCAAAAGGAAATGATCCTTCTTACTACATTTAGCTTGTATTTACTCACCTTAATTATAACATTTTTGTTTTTATAAATGCAGAAACAAATCTGCTAAGTTCCAAATCACCCTGTCCCCAAACCCCAGGATAGCATGTTTTAAATGCAGTACTTCAAAATACAATGGAATAGCATTATGGTTTTAAATGGTATTAAATCTTCATCTTGCTTAACTAGAAGGATGTGTGCAAGGCTTTGTTGCTTTCTTGCCTATTTCCGGTGCTTGCTTTATGTCTTTCGGTGTCTGTGGGGATTTTAATTTCTATTGTGTAGTTAAAAAGCACTCGTGGTGTGGAACTATTTTTTTTTAATCTCCTGGCTACCATATGGGATCTGTCTCAGGAATCAAAGCCACAAAATGTATGCAGTTTATAAATCATAATGTACAGTTAAAAGGAGGAAGAATTGTTTGATCATTTTTAGTTGACTGATTAGATGAGTGGTTTTCAACCGGGGTGTCACGAGCCCCCTTAAGGTGTGCGCTGTGTGCACGTCTGCTGTGATCAGCCTAAAACAGGCAGGAGCTGGGTGGCTTTAGCCTTCTCAGTCTGGACCCTCCCACACTCCTCCCAGAAACAGGCCTGCGTGGTATTCCACCTGAACATCTCTGTCTGGGAGGATGATCAAGGGGGCCAGACTGGGGAGGGCTGCGCAGTGCGAGGCAGTTCCTGTCTGCTTTAGGCTGATCACTGCCCTAATGCGGTAGTCTCGTGCACATGTACTATGGGCAATCCAGGCTGGTGCTACAGCAGACGCACAGGGCAGTTTTATGTGGAGGCAGCATAACTCACTTGAGAAACACTGAGGTAAGCTGAGGCAGCAACAACAATGCTGCCACATTCCCTTAAGTATGACAGTGTATGAGAACCAGAGTATCAGACCTGAAGTCTGCTTGTGATGTAATGTTTCCTGCATTGGTAGTGGTCTTGCATGCATTTGTGATATACATTGGTGTACTTATGCTCAATCTCATGGGACATTTCTCAAAAGTGATTTTGAGTACTCACTTATTTTAATGCGGTTGAGTTATGCTACTGGGATGTCTTTCTTGTTTTCCTGTTCACAAAAACTTTAGTCACTTTCCTCTGTCCATGGAACAAGCATGGTCTAGGAGAAACGTTACAAGTTTCTACAGGGTGTCATGTCAGTGTGCTTAAGCCCTAACCTGGGCCCTTTCTAGGAGTGTTAGTTCAGTCTTCATTTCCATCCAGTCCTTAGCCACTCTAGTAAAGGTGCCACCAGGGCCTATTTACTACTATTTATTGGACTCTAAAACTAGCCGAAATATGTAGAATAGTTCTCCTTACTTGGGTAATTGATATTATTATGCCACTTCTATTTGAACTCGGTGCTTGATGCATGTATGCTATTAACTCAGGATTTTCTTGCTTGTGTTGGCATTTACATAATTTTATTTCTTTTTTTTTCCTTTTCAGTTTCATAGGAGAATTTATAAAGGAATTCCACTACAGCTCAGAGGTCAAGTTTGGTCTTTACTACTTGATGTTCCTAAAATGAAAGAAGAAATGAAAGACTTTTATAATGTGAGTCTGAAAAAGTCTCCTGTAGAATTAAGAATTGTAAGCTCTCAGGTACTGGGAAATAAGAAACATTGAGCAATAGGATTAATGGAACTGATATTTAACTGTATTTCCTTTCTGTACTGGAAGAAAAACCTTGTAATTTACAGGCCTGACATTTGACCAACGTGTGTTGTGGTTTTGTAGTTCATGTAATTGATCTGATTCCACCTCTGCCCCTTCCCCCAGAGAACACCTCAGACTCTTTAAGTGCAGGTCTACAATGAAAAATGACTGTATAGAAGTAGCATCATCTTACTCTGAGAGGAAATTCAGGAGTTTGTTCATGGAGTCCTGTCTATTTAATTAAAAAAAAATGCAAGTTCCAGGTTTAGTGAGCAGAGCAGAGTGGAAGAACGTGAAGTCCAGTGATAACATTTTGTCCACATGCACAAGGTGGACCAGTTTCTTTTGAACTGCTTTAGAAACAAAATTTGAGTCCAACCTGTGCAGACCATTACCTACACTCTTGCATTGGATTAATTTGTGTAAATTTAGAGTGGTACAAGATATAAGCCAAATTTAAATCATTTTGAGAGGGTGCACATATGAATTTAGACAAGTTTAACTAGATGGGTATAAAACCACACCATTGGTACTGAGTTGGGCCTGAAGCTGCCTAGTGTAGAGCAGATCTGAAGGTATGTCTAATCAGTAGTAGGTTTGCTGCTAAAACTTTGCCTTCTTCCATGGGGAAGGATTCTGTTGCATAGTGAAACTCTGCCAAAGAGGAGCTTTTCCTCTAGCCTGCATGATGCAACAAAAGGCCTAGTGCTGGGGGAGTGCTGAAATAGGTATGTGCCTGGGAAGGTGGTGGTCTGACTAGGCTTCACCTTCCATCCTACTTCTTCCTTGGGCCCCAAGTCTTATGTATACTTTCTCTGTCCAGATATACAAGTCAGTTTAGAATGGCTTAAACCAGTAGGAGCCAACCTTTTTGGCCAGCATGCCATAAATTAGTCTTGTACCTTCCCTGAATACCACTTTGATCTCTTCCTCTGCCCACTGTGCTGCTCTGCTTCCCGTTCTCTATTCTGTGCTCCCTATCTATACTCCTACTCTGCTTTCTGCTTCCTGCCCTGTTTGCTGCTGTCCCCTCCCTGATCTCTCATGATATACATAGATTGCCTGTGCCACTTCTGGCATGTGCGCTACAGATTAGCCAGCCCCTGATTTAAACAGTTTAAGTGGTGCAGCTTGAAGAAGGATACATGAAACCTTACTTATGTCTGTCCTACCCATGCAGTTGGTCCAATAAAAGATATCGCCCACAAGAATTCTTGTCTGAAACCTCAGAAGTATACCTGGTATTAGTGAGGTATTATTTGGAACCAGTTCGAAGTGAACCAGTTCACTATTATGTGTGGACAACAAACTTTGTGTCTGGTTGGTTCTCCAGGAATCGCACGCTGTGTCACGCCTCAACAACCTCCTCCCCTTGCCCCAGCTCTCCCACCCCTGCATGGCAGCTGGCTGCTCTGGTGCACAGGCAGGACTCTCTTGCCCCAACCTCTGTTGCCTGTTCTTGACCACAGACTTTGGCCTCCAAGGCTGATTTCTGATGGCAGGCGAGGGTGGAGGGGGTAGTCACATGGGGAGGATGCCTCTGGGTTTTCCAGGGTTTCTGTTTCATGCTCTGGCTGTAAAAGGACTTTACCTATAAAGTTGCTCAATTACTTCCATTGCCTGCGACTGACCCCGGGCCACTTGGGCAACTTCTAGGTTCAGTAGGCTCTAGATTTAGGTCTTCCATGACTCCGACAGTGGGGCTGGATTGGACATTGGGGTTTTTTGTTTTTTTTTTGTTCTCTGCTTTCCCCCTTTCCCCATAGGCTTTCAAAGTGCTTTGCGAACATGCTGGACTGGCTGTCTGATTGGTGGGAGCCCCATGCCCATGGAGCTCTTGTGCCAGCAGATTTGGTTTTGCAGTACTCTGCCCCTGTGAAACAGAAACAATTGAGTCGCAGTCCTCAGGTTAATTTGGGGGTGGGGTGGGGGGTACACCTGCCTACCTACCTACCTACCTACCTACTGATCTCATGATGAGGGGCATGAACTGAAATTAATCAAGCAGCTTTCTAGGGAAAGTCTTTTTAAATCCTCATCCTGAGACAGAGGCATTGGGTAGCCCCTAGAATATGCAGCCCTGCGGGAATGCAAAAGCATTAGTCCGCACGATACCCCCTCATCCCATCTCCCTGTTCAGCCAATGGGGGTCTTTCTCCCCCACTAGGGAAATCCTGGGGAAAGTTTAGCCATGTGCCACTGCAAGGTGTGCTGCGCTGAGTACACTCCCACTCCATGGTGGTGGCTCAGCAGCTCTGCAATGCCTAAAAGGGGACCGTTCAACTTAGACCCCTTGGCAGCGTACATGCAGACACCTCTGAACTGCGTCAGTTGGGAGCTGGTTCAGTCATTAGTGTGCCTACACCTTGCTTGAATCTACTTGGGGCTTGGGAATGTTAGAACTTGGCTCTGAGCATAAGTATTAGTGGTTGAAGGTGCTGAGAGGTGCCTAGTGTACATTTTGTGCCTCTTTTCCCAAGTATAAATTCTGTGGTAGGTGGATGTGGACATGTACCTTTATAGCATTTGTTGTATCCATGGGCAAGCTGGGTTATGATGGTTCACTCTTAAGACACTTTTCCATAGTAAGCTGTTTAAGCTGAGAAGTTTCAAGTTGTTTAATTCAGCAACAAACCAAGTGGCTGCAAACAGGTTCTTTTTTTCTGTTTTAAATGTTTTCATTTTTAACTGAAGTTAGAGTCTTTATTGCTGTTTCTCTTAGAAATTGAAATATCGAGCACGAGGGTCTTCACCGGATATCAGACAGATCGATCTTGATGTAAATCGGACATACAGAGATCATATCATGTTTAGAGACAGATATGGTGTTAAGTAAGTACATCAAAATACTTTAAATTCAGTTATTTGTTGTTTGTCTTTCAAATAGAATTTGACCAGTCTCAGACTCCTCTGACCTACCCAAGAATTAGGACAGGGCTTTGAATTAAAGTATGCAAATATTAGAAACTACAGGGCATAACTTCACTGGGGGTTTTTACTTCTCCATATTTCAAAAACAGGTATTTGGCTAGCAACCAGTTGGCTTTCTCTCTTTAGGATGCAAGGCTTAGGGACTGAAAAACCAAGAAAAAGAAATTTTAGATTATTTTCAGCCATATGCGTTGACCCTGTTTTTTAAATATCATCTTGTTCAAAATCAAGAATTTTGTAAAGCAAATCCAAAGTGCGTGAAAATACTGAGTTATTTATTAAATGATTTTTATCCTCATGGGGAAAAAAGTTAAATATATCAAGATTTTATACCACCCACCATTGTTCAGAAAAACAAAACACAATTATTACTTCTCTAATACTTTACATTTCCTGCAGGAGTTTTACATGTTAAGTAATGAAATAATTGACTGTATCAATGTCAACACTGTCAGCTTTTGCATCAGTACCCTCTTGTGATGAGTGGGGCACATTTCGTCTCAGTAAGTGGTTCAGTAATATTTTCCCCAAAGTCTCTGGAAGACAACAGTGTATTGATCTGCTTTCCAAAGGTTATATCTAGTCATAACAGCTACAAATTTGAATATATGATAGTTTTATTGTTCATATGTTGTACTTGGTATGCAGAAAATAGCCTGTTCCTTTGAGAACTTTGAGTCTGAATGAAAACTCGAAATGTTGTAGAAAACTGGACAACCATATCTTTGGTAGAGCATAGTGTGCATCTCTACGAGTACTTGGGGAAAGGATTGTACCAAAATACCTTAATTCAACTGAGTTGTTTTTTTCCCTCCCTGAAACTAAATTGCTTGTTTTTCAACACTCTGTGCTCTTCTGAATGTTCATCCTGTTTTATGATGAAGTGCTAGTGGTAGCATTTTAAGTAAATAGCATAAAATTGTTACATTATTGGAAACAACCTGATGATAAACAATAATAGTGTTATTTTGCCCCTTCCATTTAGTTTTCACTTTATGCTTCAATCTTTTCTCTGCTGTATATGCAAAAAACCTGCAAAATTAATTGAAACTCATTATTATTTCTGACTATCGCCTGGCTTCTAAATGCCAGGCAAGAAGTAATCAGAAAACCGCCAAATAAGATGCACTTAATTATTTTGTTTGACTTCTGTACCTGAAAAAAACCCGAAAAGTTTTTAATCTGTGTGGTAGGCTTAAGTTTAAAAAGCATATTCAGTATTTCACCATTAAGACAGCTAATATAACAAAACTGTAGGATTAATTTGTTTGTGCATATGCTGAAAGTCTGAGGGAGAAAAGAGTGAAGGAAATCTTGTGCGTTTTATATGGGAAGTAATAGTGCATATCTGTCTGCAAGCAAGCAGACTGAACCTCACACTACAAAGACCAGTTTTATGTTTAATCAAAGATGCCTTTATATCCAGCTCAATCCCATTCCTTTCATCTTGGGAGACATACAACCAAGATTTTAAACTAATCTATTAATTTAATTTTCATTAGGCTGGCATATGAAACTATAATGTTTTGTCCATACATTAACATTAAATCTTGAGAGGAAGCTGAATGTTCTTCTTTGTTTTAAAATTCTTACACCAAGTTAGTGAAATATGATGCAGCATTTAAAAATGCAGAATACAATCTATATATGAATGGAACTTCTACCCACCTCTCTGTTTATCTGCCAGGGCAGACTTTCTTAAACTGTCCCTTCTTTTCCTTGTAAGGTAGGTCTGCGCTGGATAAAAAATAAGAGGGGTGAAGTTAAAAGCAGTTCCTTTTTTAGAGGAATATTTTATAGCATGGTTTAATCAGCCAGTGCAATTAAAGACTAAATAAAATAAAAAGCAGAAATTTTCCTTCCAGTGAAATAAGACTCAAGTTTAATGTCTAGTAACACAATAATTTAGTGTTACAACAGCAGACATTGAAACCCAAGTTTTGACTGTGAGACTGTTTTCCAAGACTTTGAAATGAGACCAGTTAAACTGGAGGTTCTTATCCAGAAAATGAATTGGTATCTTCATTTTTTTGTTTCAAACTCAATTATTAAATGCTTTTCTTTTTTTCTTGTTACTCCAGGCAACAGGCTTTATTCCATGTTTTAGCAGCATATTCTATATATAACACGGTAAGCCTTCTTGCATATATGCTTAAGATTAAACATAGTTTCTTTAAATAGGCTACAAAAATTATTGAAACCAAACCTCAGTATACATAAAAGTCTGAAGTGCTGCCAGTTCAGCCTGACTGTCACGTGGCTACCTGGAGTTCAAACCCAGTCTAAGCATTTCTCCTTGGTGATCAAGGATACAACACAAGTTGAAGGGCTTGGTTTTTGGGACTTGTCTACTTTGTGGGAGCTCTAAGTTATGTGGGACCACTAGCTACTGCCAGTATCTCACTCTGAGAATGTCTGATAAAAGCAGTACCTAACAATGTTAGTAGTCCATTTTAGAAAACCAGTGTGAACCGAATTTGAGGAGATGTGGGTGCTCACAAAGTAAATCTTGAACAGTTCAATCTGTGGAAGAATAGTGGGCCATCATTTCCTGCATCTTTCTGGGGAGAAAGCAAGTATATTTTGCTAAGCAGTGACAAAGACAGAGGTAAGCCGCAACCCAAAAAGAGAAAGAAGAGAAAGTTAAAGTGGTGGAGGAAGGGGAAAGAGAGCTAGCCAGACTCTATTTGTAGGATGGTGCTCTTCATCGGGAAAAACTGGCAGCTAATTAATGTTCTGTGCTTCTATGCCACCCTTCTTCTAGGAGCCACAGTGCTTTACAATCAGCAATGTCTCCTGTTAAAGCTGAGAGGTACATAAATACACCACAGAAACCTGAATGATTTGACCCTGATTCAGGAGTGCACTCAAGCATTTGTTTAAGTCCACCCTGGCATTTAAACCTTTGAAATGCTGAATGAGGATGCTTTCCTAAATTTGGATGTTAGACTTCATGTTAGCTGTTAGAAAATTCCCTCTTGTAGAGCATCTAAGATACTTATTGAAAGCGTACGTGATGTAAATGTTGCCATTGTGCCCATTTCTAAACATGTACATGATGGTTCATTCAGCAAGCGCTTTTATACATGTGTTCAGAGGTGATAAGCAGGGATCCTGGTTTTTCTCTGTTTAAACATTGCAAATTCTCTGACACAAATGGCAGATTCTCTGATTAAAAACCCAGATCTGTGTTTTTCCACAATTAAAATGAAATGCTACTCTATATTTAGGTATCATTTGAACACAGCATTTTATTGATACATTTACAATTTTAAAGCAGTTAGGAAGCCTACCAGTGCCTCAATCACTATAATAAAATAAATGTAAATACCTATAAATGTTGGCATTTGATTTGGGGTTTTTTATCATGGAAAAGTAGAGCTCCCTCTTCCCCTTTCACTCATCAGGATGCGGGTCCAGCTGCGGCTGTCCCTTCCCACTGCTTTGTGGCACTGAGCAGCCCTGATAAGCCGGCGTTTTGCCCGTGCCATTGCCCCTCACTCCCAAGCCACAGCCCACCAGCCCTGCTGGTGCCCCTCACTATGCACAGTTCTCTGGCCCTTCTGTTACCTCTCAATTTGACCCATAGCCCCTGCTGCCCTAAGCCATGCTGGAGGGGCCCCCAGCTGCCAGGGCTATGGGGCCAGGAACCCAGGCCTGCAGCCTCCTGCCGCTCCCCAGCAGCTCCCGAGCCCAGGCTGCTGCCAGTGGACTGGAGTGTGGAGCCCAGCACTGCAGGAGCAGAGCCTGTGAGAAAATCCATGTTTTACCATGCTTTTCCGTGGCAAACTGAAAACCCGGATCCCTGGTGATAAGCTGTGTTAGTCTGAAGTCAGGTAGAAGGTAGGGCAGGGTGGTACCTTGGAGACTAACTGGTTTAGAATGGTATGATGGCCTTACTACAGAAAAGTACAAAATTAAAACAAAGAACAAAATTACGTATCTGTTCTGGGTTTATGCCCATGTATTTATTAAAAAATGTTTATCTGTAGAAGTATTTAAGTAGAAATATATTGTACTAGTGGGCAGGGTGCCGAGGCAGGGGCCAGGCTGCAGTTACTGCCCTGATCCTGGGTTGGAGGCTGGAGCCCAAGCTGCAGCAGACGCCTTCTTCCCGCTCCCTCCACTGGTCTTGTACTCAATTCTAAGATGAGGGGCTTCCCTCCCATGTTAAATGAGGGAAAAACCCCTTGTCTTAAAATTGAATAAACACTGTTGGTGTGCATGTATGTATATACATTTTTTTTACACTTACCACATGCATAATGATTTTCTTGCTGTTACTGTTTTTACTGTCTAATTTTCAGGAGGTTGGATACTGTCAGGGAATGAGCCAGATCACAGCTTTACTCCTTATGTATATGAATGAAGAAGATGCCTTCTGGGCCTTGGTGAAGTTGCTTTCGGGTCCTAAGCATGCTATGCATGGTATGAAACTCTAGTTCACGTCACACACATTACATTTAAACTTATCCTTATAATACTGTAAGTTCTTTGAGACTGAGATCCTTTCTACTTGTGTGGATCAGTGTCTAACCCAGTGAGGCCTTTTTCTGAATCGGGACTATGATGTATTACATCAATATAAATAATATTTATTAATTTCTTAATCAATGTGGTTAAGGTTTATCTGTAGTTATATGTGATAATTTTTGTAGATCTGTGTTCTCCAAATTAGACCATTTCTTTTCTCTCAAATTATTTTTGTCCTTTTCAAACACTAAGCTCTTTTTTCTTTTTTTGACATTATGAATTAGGGAATTGTAATTGTTTATAATGTTCCTTTAGAATTGTCAGGTTTTGTGTCTTTTTATGTGCTATGTCTCTTCAGCTATAAATGTTATTGATTTGGTCTGTAATGTGCTACTTTATCAGCAACATTTAAAATGCAGTTACATGTATTATTTGAACACAAATGCAGCACTTACAGGTATTTATTCTAAGGACTGTGTTTCTGGACTTCATTAATGATATTAATGGAAGCTACGTTGGTTATCTTTGCTTGCAGGATTGAAAGCTGGTTATATAGACATTTATATAGCAGTGTAGTAATAATGAAAACAAAACAACCCCAAAAAAAAAAAATCCCCCCAGAAAAACGCACAAAAACCTGTTGTGGCTGTGGTACCAATTGGCCAGACAGAAAAATCTGAAGTTAAAATTGACCTTATGTCTAGGCTTAACTTGGAGTTTTTTGGCTTTATCTTTGGCTCTCAAGTTTCCTGGTTCCCAACGTTTTGTTACTTTCGTTACTATTGTGGCTTTTATCTTTTAAACTTCGGTATTTTTATGCATCCTGTACCCACAAGTTCCAGTCGCTTGAGCTTCTTTTATAGTAAATGAGTGATTTAGAAATCCTTAGCTCTTGCAAGCCTGTGAAAGTAAAGTCAAATTGTTCTGGTTGCTTCATGGCTCCTCTCTCTTGTGACTTTCAAATATACCCAGGCTTTCTTCCTTGCAACATGAATTGCTAGGTGGCAATCATCTACATTGCATGTCCACCAAAACAAAAACATTGTTGTATCTGAGATGGAGCAGGGCCTTTTCTGCCATAGCTTGGGAGCTGCAGGGATCAGCTGTGCAGGGTGTCAAGCTCTGCTGAAGGTGGTGGTGGCAGCAGCAGGTGGGTTCCCCTTCCTGTGCATGCTTTCTGTTCCAGACCCCAGGTGTCCCCTGCCAGCTCAGGAGGAAGTGCAAGAGGGGGGAACAAGCTGGGGTTGGTGTATGGAAGCTACCCTCTTCTGCAGTGCACAGTCAGGTGAGCAGGTCATGATGCAGAGGAGATGTAGATCCAGTTGTGCTGTGACCTCAAGCTAAAGCAGGAGCCCAGAGCAGTGGCTTGGGGGAGAGTCTGACTGGGCTGGTGAGATGCTGTTGGCCATACATGGTAGGCAAGACCTACTTCCCTGTAGGTGCGTAGGGCAGCTTGTGGGGACATCCTGGCTGGTGACATGGTTCTGCTGAGGGCTGTGGTCTCTGGCATGGCTCATGTTCAAGTGTAGGGTGGGTTGCAGGTGTTCTTGGCTCTGGTGGGTGTGGCAGCATTGCCCATGACCTCAGTGAAATACTTCCCAGGCAGGGCCAGCCCTGGAAGGGTAGGGAGCCCATTGTCCTTGCATTTTGAGCCAAGCTTTCAGTGACTCCATGCTCTTGCCCAGCTGCTGCTGATCCCTAACCCTGGGCAGGGATTCGCTGCAGCCTGTGAGGGGTAGAGGACCTCACGTACCCCGAGTACACATGCACAGCTTTCCTTGAAAAATAGCTTGGTGTGGGAAATGGGGGACCTGCTTCTCTCCTCCTTTCTCCAGCTGAGCTTAGTGCCCTATGCAGCTCCTCCCCACAGCCCTTGGCTCCCCCCATCCCTGGGTCAGCCAGAGACCGTGATAACAGCAGGTAGGTCTCCTCCTCTTCTGCCCAGAGGCATAATTAACAGGGTCTGTGCCTTAGGCACAGGTGGAGGGAGCAGGGAGGAGAGGAGTGGTGCCACTGAGCATCAGTGGGGAAGGGTATCGAGAGCACGGTTTGGAGCAATCTGACCTGCCTTGGGGACTCAAAGTCCTTTGCTGCTACTGCACCATGGTCATCATCATCTTTTCCTGTCCCCTCCATTTGTGTAAGCTGAAAAATAAATGAAATGTGTTAAAATTAAATCCAGTTAAGATATTCTCCCCTAGGCCAAGTTTGTCACTTAACCAGTTTCAACTTGGTACAGAAATTTTCTCATAAGGGTAGACATAAAAGCTGCTTGATAAAATAGTACTTAGTAGTTCTCAGTTGGAAAATGCTAAGTGCTTTAAAAGTAAGCTTTACAATGCCGTAGGGAGGAGGTCTGTGCTTAATAATGTGCTACCATAGTCTTAATTTATTTGTTGAATGACTGCAGTCTTCCAGATGATCAAGTGCTCTGCTTTCATTTCAGTATAGATGCTTAAAATCAGTTTATAGAAAGATAAATACTTCTGGAGATTCTGAATGTTATATATATAGATATATATGCAAGTTGCGATTTGCACTTATTCTCTGGAAAAGTAGCTTTAAACTCTTATATTTCAAACCTAAACTATGTTGGGCCTAAATTATTGATATGCATGGGTTTTAAGTGAAAACGTGGGGATAACAGAGAATCTTAAAGTTGGAAGGGACCTTGAGGATCATCTTCTCCAATTCCCTGCATAGATGCTGGGTGCACTATTCATAAACCATCAGAGAAGAACATCTATTTACCCTCTTTTGGGAAACCTCTGATGAAAGATTCCTCAACTCTGAAAGCCTCTCTTCTCATGCTTAATATGAGTTATCATTGCATTGCACTCTAAAATAAATGGCTGTCTACACGACTGTTAGTGATAGTGGGACATTTCAGTTAGAAAGCGGTGCTACCAAGAGTAGGAGAGCTGAAATTCCTCCTTATAAACAAAGCACTTTCATCTCTCTTTCATTTGCCATCCACCTGTCACCTGGGACTTGGACTTTTTTTTTCGGTGCAGCCAAGTATGATTCAGCCTACCCAGCCAGACTAATCCTGAGTATAACTCCACTGAAATCAAGGGATGAACTGCAGCCTTAATGTTTTATGTATGACACGAAGTCTCTAAATCATAAAATATAGGTATCTGACCCTGAAAACGATTTAGATTTTTGAAAGCTATTTCCTTCAGGATTTTCATAATCTTACAGATTGAAGATAATGAATTAGTGTTCGTGAATGGAAAGAGCAACTGCACCTTTGAACATTATTAATGATACATAATTAGCTTTGAAGTATTCATTCAGAGTTTACGTAAAGGAAAAAAACAACCTTGCCTAGCCAAGTGAAATTAAATTAATATGCCAGCATACATTTCTTTATTCATGGGATAGAGGAATCATAATTTTGATGAACATTTTGTGGCATGCTGCACCCATCTCATTCTGGAATATCAGCCCTTCCTGCTAAGTGGCTGTGAATATTGCACTGAATTATTGAACTGGAGCCTGGACAGAAGTCATTTTTGAGTTGTAAAGTTTGATTCTATTATGAATAGAGACTCTTAACAGAATATTTAGAAGGCCCATATGTCTCCAATCACCTACTTGGTTTACTCCTTCTCTGCCCGCAGTGCAAACTCAGCTAAGGCAGGAAAACTGGGTGCCTTTGTTTTCACACACAGTATCTGTACAAATTCATGCCTCTCTGCTTTCTATGATACTTGGCCTGAATAGGGGAACCTTCCCTACCTTCTCTAATGTAACTGCTCGGGCAGCTGTCTGCATCTTTTCTGACCCAAAGGGCAGATTTGCTGAGTAAGAAGGTACCTCTCTCTGGTCATTTTTCAGAGCAAAACAATGGTGGTGTGATTTTTTTTTTTTTACTATGGTGTCTTGGAGAGTAAACTAAACTTATTTTGGCATAAATGTGCCAAAAGCTACTGTGTAAATTATTTTGATTCTTACTGTTTTGAATATCTAGACTTAAACCCAACATGTTAACACTATGAATACATTTTAGATGGATGTTTGTGGAACATATCCCTGTTGAGGTGTGCGTGTGTGTGTTTTATTTTTCCCCCTTAGGGTTTTTTGTTCCTGGCTTTCCGAAACTGTTGCGGTTCCAAGAGCATCATGACAAAATATTGAAGAAGTTTTTGTCAAAGCTTAAGCAACATTTGGTAAGTTACTATCATGCCAGGTAAAAGCATTATTAATTTAATTAAACTCCTGTTTCACCACAGTTTAATCTCTTCTTTTAGAGTATTACTGACTACAGGGGGAGACACCAAGCTCAAACAGGCAAAAGAGCTGTGAAGTTGCTGGGAGTCTTGGCTGAGCTGGGAGGTTGATTGATTAACTGGAGTTTTGTAGCTGAGATTCATAATCTCAGTACTTTGAATTCTCGGTTCCTGAGAATGTGCTATTTAGGATGGATGGTATTTAGTAAATTCTTGGATACTTAACATCTTTGAAAAGAATTTATCACATCAAGAACCAGAATTCAGTGCCTGTAGGAAGGAAGGACTTGGTACTTGGGTAAATTCCTCTTCAGCCAAGGAGCATTTCTTATTTTAAAAAATGAAACAAACACCTAAGGATTCTTTAGAACTCGGATACAGGAAACTTTTCAGACATGTATTTACTTGATTAAAAGATCCTTGGAACAGGGACCATATTTCTGTTATCTTTTCATTCCTGTGTAAAGCGAATTCAGGCCGAACAGAAGTTGATCATAGAATCATACAAAATATGAAGATGGAGTATGGAGGAGAAGACATAATCAGGAGCTTGTGGTCCTTTATAAAAGAGCTGTTGTCTTGAGCAAGAAAAGAGCCTCGAGAATGTAACGGGCAGGGCATATTGCAAGAACTGATGAGAAAAGGCACGTGAGGCAGATTCGGGAAGCGGAGGTGAAGGGTATCAGACTTCGAGGTAGACTGAGAAAGATAGCATAAAATTTGATCTGGAAGGGCTAGGTGAAGATGCAACAAAGAGGAAGGAGATTGCACGAGAGGAGAAGCTGGAAGGCTGTAAGGAAGGCAGTTATAAGCTGCCAAGGCATGTGAAACCAGAGAGAGGGAGAGAAATCATGCCAAATAAGTCTGGAGGGAACACATGAGGTCACCCAGTACAGCCTCCTTCTTGACGGAGCATCCCAGTCTAAATCATTTTAGACGAGGGAGAGGCAACCCTCCGGTATGCATGCCAATTAGTGGCACATGGAGATATTTTCCTTGGTGCCAGAAGGCAGGTAAGCCAAGGAAAATGTTAAAAAATATATGTATTTTTAAGCTGCTGCTCTGGCCTCTGGAGCAGTGACAGGTCCCAGTGCAGTAGCAGGCATGGGGGGCAAGGTCAGGACAGCCCAGGCAGGGATGCTGTCTCTGTTCTGCTGACCCCTCTTCTGTGTCTGTGGTGGTGCATGGGGGGACCTGCAAAATCAAAGAAGCTGCTGATTCCTGCTAATCTTGCAGATTCCCCCATGCACCCTCCCCACCCCTAACACTTGCTGCTTGCTCCTGATCAGCATGAAGGCGAAAACCACGGCTTTAAATACGTTGCAGTTTTTGCCTCCTGGCTGGTCAGCAACAAATAGCGGGTCTGCCAGGGTCCCTCGGCCAATAAGCAGCAAGTGGCAAAACCGGTGCCATATTTAAAACAGCAGCTTTTGCCTCCCTGAGCAGTGGGACCCCTCCACCAATCAACAGTTGGAGGGCGCACATGGGAACCTTCAACATTAAAGAAGCGGCTGTGCAGCCCAGTCCCTTAGTTAGTTTGGTAGTCCCTAATCAGGGGTGGTGCTAGGGGGGTTATAGCCACTCCAAAATTCACCCTAGCCCCCCTGTACTCCCCCTCTCAGCACTGCCCCACTCCCGCCTGCTCATGGCTGAGCCTGCCCCACTCCTGCCTGCAGTGCAGCCCCACTGAGAAGTGAGAGGTGCTGCCCCTGTTCCTAATTATGGGCGACTCATAGAGAGGAACGGGGGGGACATGCCCCCACCCGATTTTCATCAAGGCTGCTGCCAGGGGCCCAAGTGGCTGCTGTGAGGGACCCATGCTGCTGGCCAGGTCTGGGGCTGGAGCTGAGGCCTGAGCAAGCAGCCTGAGCCCAGTCACCACATCGTGTGGCAAGCCTCCCCTGGCACCGCCTCTGCACTCACCTGCCTGCCTGTATTGTTGTGGGGAGCAGAAGGGGATACCAGCAGCAGTGGCAGGCACTGA